GACCAAGTAACAGACATTCCTTTCTTTTGTTTCTTAAGAAAGGTAGGACATTCAGATCGAATGTGCCCATATCCTTCACATCCATGACATTGGATTCCTCTGCTTTGATTTCCCTTTTCTTCAGACTTAGGTCTTCTGCTGGAGTCATAGGATTTGCTAATGTCAGAGGGAATGTTCTTGACATTTGACCTTGACTTTGGGTCCATTCTCTTGATGAGTTTGTTGAAGTGTCTTCCAAGCATAGCTATAGCATCTGAAATATTCTCTTCATCACCCTCCTTGTTTTCATCTTCAGTATTGGATACAAGTGTTATGCTCTTGTTTTTCTTGTCAACATTGTCACTGATCCCCATCTCAAAAGTCTGAAGTGACCCAATGAGTTCATCAACCTTCAATTTGCAGATATCCTGAGCTTCCTCTATAGCAGTCACCTTCATTGCAAATATTTTAGGCAGGGATCTGAGAATCTTTCTCACCAGCTTTTCTTCTGACATCTTTTCTCCCAATGCTCCTGAGGTGTTGGCAATTTCCAAGATGTTCATGTGAAACTCATGAATGGTCTCATCTTCCATCATCCTTAGGTTCTCAAATTTGGTAGTAAGCATCTGAAGCCTTGACATTTTTACTTTGGATGTACCCTCATGGGTGGTTTTGAGAGTGTCCCAAACATCCTTGGCCAGTTCACATTGATGTACTAGTCTGAATATGTTTCTATCAATTCCATTGAATAAGGCATTTAATGCTTTGGAGTTACCCAGGGCTAACTCATCTTCTTCTTTGCTCCATTCTTCCTCAGGTTTCAGACTGGTCGTCCCATGTTTCCCAGTTATGGTGGGATGGTTCCATGCTTTGTCAGCAACTCTCCAAGCCTTTTTGTCCAGTGACTTCAAGAAGGCAATCATACGAGGTTTCCAGTAGTCATAATTTGATCCATCCAGAATAGGTGGTCTATTCACAAATCCTCCTTCCTTGTCCATAGCGCCAGAAAATAATACCCCTAGATCTCACCCAGTAAGACAGGCAGGGTGCCTGATCTGATGCCAATTGAAATTCTGGTAACAGATACTTAATTTCACAGTGAATGTTATGACACCGTATCTGACACACTTCAAGACTATAATTTAAAAACAGTAAAGAACACAATCAATTGTTAACCCAGTTCAGTGTGAAACAACACCTACTCTGGGGGCTACCAAGCCAGGGAGGAAATTCACTATAAGAGATATTATTTCAGGAATAAACCAACCAATTTATCTCCTTCACTTAAGACCTACCCAATGCAACTTCAATCTAAGTTCAACTTAAACTTGAGTTCCTACTCACTCCCCCTCAATCACAGCAGTGATACTTAACTATTGATTAAAGAGATTATGAAGACACTCTTCAATACACACACTTGATTTTGCTTCAAAGCTTTAATCAAGAGACACAATCACTCGTGCTTCAAAGCTTTGAGTGATACACAACCCTAACTTGATTTTGCTTCAAAGCTTTAATCAAGAGACACAAGCACTCGTGCTTCAAAGCTTTGAGTGATACACAACCCTTACAATCAAATCTTACTCCAAGAAACTTATCAAACCGATAATTGCTTGGCTCACAATAGTTACAACTATACAATCCCTTATTGATCTTCTTTCAAAAAGTATTCTTCACCATTAATCTTCATGAGGAATATATAGACAAACTATTGTTCAGTTAGGGCTTCCATGAAAATAGCTAGGGTTAACTAAAGTTAACCTAAAGACTTGGTCTTAGGCTTTCATCATACCAGTTTAGGGTTACGCAAGGTTAACCTAATGTCCACGTGAGCATCTGATCTGGACTGTATATCAACTCAGAGAAGCATACCAGATTCCTGAAAAATCTCAGGAATAATAAATCTACACAAATGCTAGATCAGTACAGGATGTCTTAACATTGGTTATGACAACAAGAATCCTGCTCACTGATTTTGGTAGAATACACTATATATGATCATTGTTTAATGATCATGATAAACACCTTATACTGAGTAGTTCCTGTATGACATTCTTTTCTGCAGAATGTACCTTTATCCCAGAATGTTATGACATCACTCATGACATTTGCAACTCTGGTTTTACCCAAAAAAATGCCAACAAACAAACACTTACACATAGGATTAAAAACTTGGCCTATGTTGGAAACCTTATGACCTCAATTTATATTTTGTCTGAAGTTCTTGAGGTTTACTTCAAGACATTGGGTTGCTTTGTTTGTTTTGTGTGCAGGTTATTGTGATTACATACTTTATTTGTAATGTGGAATTCACTCGTATACAACCGTTACTCTGCCCAATTTTTGTGAAGACTTAATACACTTGAAGTTTGGCTCCCTCAAGAGGTCTAGTATCTTTGCTTGCTTGGTTTCAATCCAAAGAATGGGAACTTCATCTTGACTCATAATGTTAAATTTTGACTTATTGTTGGTTAGATGGTTCTTATCCCTAGCTCTTACCTTATACTTTAGTATAGTCCCTTCTTTTCCTCCTATCTTCTTTAATTTAAAAAAATCTTCTCCCTCCTTTTGAAAACTCTTCTTGTTTTTTAAACTTGAACCACTTTCATAATAAACTTGGACTTAGGTCCATGCATTTTCAAAACCTTTTCATAAATAAACCTTAATCAATTTAATAATACCTTGACATTTATTGTGAGAAGACTAAAAGTAAATCAATCTCATTTCAAACTATTTTTCCACTTTGGCTTCTATCTTTAAAACTTTTCTCAAAAGATAGGACTCTTGTCAATCCTTGTAGTGATGCAAACAACTATACTTCTATAATGTATAGTGAAGAGAGATATTTTCCACTTGAGTGTTGAGTGAGGCATTGTTGATTTTAAAATCCAAGCCATATCCTCCACTTTGAGATAATGCAAATTCTCCTTTCTCATGATTGTGGGTAGTAAGTATGTTTTCCATACGGACAATGACGATGATGTCTTATCTTATAAAATTAACCAACACACTTATGTTTTAAAATACTTTAAAAGAGGAATTACGTGTACCCTTATCCCCTATTACACGGAAGGTGGTACGTAGGCACTAAAGGTTCGCAACCGCGAGGGGTGCAAAAATCATAAAAAATATTTCTTTTCTCACCTCCACCATCTATTTTTATACAATGTTTTTATAGCCAAAACATACAGATTTTTCAAAGAGGTTCCTGCGGAGTACCGTAGATGTTTAGGGTGCTAATACCTTCCATTTGCATAACCAACCCCCTTACCTAGAATATTCCCCCCCCCCCCCCCCCCCCCATTTTTGGATTACTCGCTCTTTTCCCATTCCTTTTGAAACAATAAAGCACCGTGCTGATTTTTATTTTGATCTGCATAAGTCTAGTCAATCCAATGGCTTAGTCTTAAACATTTCTACCGCTACAATTATCAATTGTTGTGAACCTTTTGTTTTATGCATCACTAACTTCTAATCCCATAGATAGGTGTATTCATGTGTTTCTTTGATTTCATGTGTAGAGACAAGTCTGAATCAAAAGCATCAGACACAGTGCCTCAGTTAGGGTTTTTGATCCCTTAAGTGTTTAAGTATGATGGATCACCGATTGTCAAAGGTTACATCATCAAAGTTTAGCCTCCAATATCAAAAACCACAATCAATATTCCGTCACCATTGGTTCACATGTGCATCAATATGCCTTGCAATGCAAGGATGGATCAAGTTTGCAAGTCAATTCAAAACACTTCAACCAAAAGTCAACTTTTGCAAGATTAAGTTCAAACGATCATAAATTCTTCATTATTCAATATTTTTGAATGGTTCTTTTTGCGTATAACTCTCCTTGACATCATCTCCAACTCCTCTTTACCAATCAAGATCTAATTATGTGCGGGTGATCCTCAAAAGTTCAAATACTTTAGATGTCATTCCGTGGAATTTGACCTAATCTCAAAATAGTTGTGCCCAATTTCCGTGGATCATAACTTCCTTGATTTTTAATATTTTGAGGCGATTATTTTTACAAAATGTCATGAGCGATGTTATCTACAAGTTTTATTTAGGAATCAAGGTCAAATTGTGCTTGGGGGCATCAAATTTAAAGATCGATACAGTGATCATTCAAAGGCTTTTAGGTTTGGTTCGAGTTCTTATGCTCACATGATGCGAGGAGAATTTCGTTCGAGTGGCATGATTTGAATTCAAGGTTGTTGGAAAAACAATCCGTTTAGAATACTAGGAATTTTCATTATGTGAATTCAAAATGTTAACTAGATGGAAGTTATCAAAAGGGCTCATTCAAGATTCAAATCATTCATAACATTCCATTATTCAAGACTTTTTAAGGCATGATATTTCAAGGTCATCAAACATTATTCAAGACATGAGATTAATTCCAAAATAAATGATTATTTGGAAGCTTTCCATCAAGTATTGATTCAAGGAAAGTTATGCAAATTCAAGCTATATTCTATCAAATTGGTTCATCCAAGATCCATTCGAGTGTTTTCAAGAGAATGTTTTTCATACTCATTCATGATTCAAGTTTCAAGATACATTCATAAAATACAAGAGAAATTAAAAGTTACATGAAAACATTGCAAATACTAAATAACCTATACTTTTAATCCTATCGAAGTTTCAAACAAACTTCAAATTCCATCATTCATGTTACAAGTGAACATTTTCAAGCTACATTTCAAATTTGATTACAAACACATGGAACCAAATCCCAAGGAAACCCTATGCTACTAATTATAATCTTAAAATACTTTCATGCCTTCAACATCCTTCATCAATCTTTGTGCTCAAGTTTCATTCATTTTTATCATGACTTTATGCTCCAAACCAAATATGTCCATAGAATTCAAAGGAGGGGAAATCAGAAAATACAGAGCGGAAAAAGACATCTCAAAGACATAACATTATACCCCAAAACATGTTGCTGCCCTGCACTAAAACAACCCCAAAGCTGTCCTTTGTTTGCTGTCCAAAACTAGCTGCTACAAACCTTGCAAAGCATGCTTCATAAACCTCCAAAAACCTGTCAAAAAGCCAGCTGCTACTGCTTCCCCTGCTATGTATCAGTCCAAATTTACACTAAATTATCAAAAACAAAACTGCATCTAAAAAGTTACAAGGTTAGCCGACCATTTTGTTCAAAAGCTATCAAACTTTCCCTCCTAAATGTTAGTTTTCTATCTATAAAAAAGAGAGTGTGGGATCATAAATAAGGTGGAAGTTCTGTTAAAAAAAAACAAAAAATATATAAAAAAACTCTGCTCTTTCAAATACTCAACTTCTAAACTTCTATCAAAACCTCACTTCTGTTCAATATCACAAACATCTTATTCAAAGTCATTTCGAAAAAGAAAAATGGATCAAGGAGAAGCTTACTACCTCTAGTTTTCTATTTCATATATGATTCAAACTTAAGGTAAGTCACGTTGCCTCTGTTTTTGCACTTTTTGCATCTTTGTTCCTCATGATATTTGAAGCCTTATTACTCTGATGTTTGGTTGTTCTGCTTGCATTGTACCATCATTAAAACAATTGAGTCTTAAAAAAACATATACTTGGATAAATGTTAAAGTTACAAATTGATGAACATGTGTTATGTTATTAGTCTTACCATGTGAAAATCCGCGGATGACCCTGATGCAACGGTGAAAGCGCTCAGACGCTGATTATCACCTGTTTGTTGAGGAGACCGAATATTAGTGTTTCAAACATCTGTCCTTTTTGTTTCTTTTAGAAAAGAGGATGATTGAAGTGAGGAGGATGAAGAAACGTCTTCAAACCTTCGAGGATCTTCGAACTCTATTGATGATTATGAGGAAAGATTTTGGGGATTAGGGTTCAGAAGGTTGATTTCGATTCAACGATGATTAACACATTTTTTAGCTAAAATTCTTCAAAAGTTATTGTTTAAAACCAGAAATCTACGAGAGTTCATCTTGGATAGGAATCAATTTATTTCCTGGTTGAGAGGTAGAGAAATTGAAGGAGATGCGTGTTATTTGGAAGAGAGTTGATGGGTGGTATTTTGTTGTGTTCACAATGGAAAAATAAAAAGAATGTCACGGTTTTCATAGAGAGAATCATTGAGATTTAATTAGGGGAAATAATTAGCATTTATTTGGGAATTAAAAATGAATTGCAATTAATTATTTTTTGTTGAGAGAAAATAGGAAAAGAGCATTTAATGTTTTTGAGGAGAGAATTTCTGATTTTTTTCTTTAAATATTACTTTTAATTCTTTTAATAAAAAAAAGACCAAGAGATAATATAGAGGCTTTCCCACGTTTTCTTTTTTTTTTTATCTCATTTTTCTTATTTTTTTAATTGGTATTTCTTTTTTATTTAATCCAAATATGAATTAAAAAAAAACTAATTAAAGAGACATTTAAGGGGAGGTGGAACGATTCTGTTCCCTTATTCTCTTCCTGCTTTTTTTTTATTTACTTAGTCTTAAATTTTTTTATTATTTTATTTAATACTAGTATTTCTTTATTTTTAGGAATTAGATTTTAGTATTTTTGGGTTTCTCTTATGGGCTCAATTCACCTCATTTTACTCTTTCCATACCCCCCGTTTGTTGCTCCCTCTTATTTCTTTTTATTTTAATTGTTTTATTTTATTATTTTGTTATTTGTTATTAATAGTTAATTTGGTATATTGTCTTTCTAATTGCTTCATTTTTTTATCATTTTTTTGTGGAAATTAATTTTTTTAATTAATTTTATTTAATCCGACTAATTTTAATTAAGTAGTTTTATTAAATATTCTCAATAAACTTGATTATTTTTTATTTTTTAAAATCGCTTAATTGTTATTTGTTTAATCTCCTTTCAATTATTAATTCGTTGACTTCATGTCATCGAATATATCTAATATGATTATGCGCAACCTCTTTCATACATTTTAGTTTTGTTAATCTTAAGTTATCCTTTGGAAAACTCAATTTTTAACTTACACTCATTTAAGCTAAAACTTTGACACTAGGTCATCGCATCTTCAACATCTCATTTCCATACTCATTTAGCAAGAAAACTAATTTTAACCCAAAAAACAGATATTTCAAAATGTTCCTATAGGATACGATAGATACATAGGGTGCTAGTACCTTCCCTTTGTATAACCAACCCCCGAACCTTCAATATCTTTCAAGTGCATTGTATTTTTTTACTGTTCATTATAATTTATACTTTACATATTTACGAGTTTTATTTTGCACCTTTCCCTTTCCCCTTGGAAATAATAAAGCGTGGTGGTGACTCTTGCTTATTTGCGAGTCAAGTTAATTAATAGCTTGATCTCCAATTCTCACCGCTACAAAGTTTAACAAAAGAAGCAGGGTTTCTATCTTAGAGGTGAAAGTAGGAGACCATAATATCCTTTAAGTCACATGGTTTAAATATCTTGGATCCGTAATATAAAATGATGGAGAAATAGAAGGGGATGTAAATCATCGTATTCAAGCTGGATGGATGAAATGAAGAAAGGCATCAGGTGTTTTATGTGATGCAAAGGTACCCCTCAAGTTAAAGGGAAAGTTTTGTCAGACTGTGATAAGACCTATGATTATTTACGGGAAAGAATGTCGAGCAGTTAAGGACCAACATAAGAATAAAGTAGGTGTAGCAGAGATGATGATGTTGCGGTGGATGTGTGGTAAGACTCGACAGGATAAAATTATAAATGAGATTATTATAGAGTGTTAGAGTAACTCTTATTGTAGAGAAGATGGTGGAAAATAGACTTAGGTGGTTTGGGCATGTAGAGAGAAGACATGTAGACTCTGTAGTAAGGAGAGTAGACCAGACGGAGAGAAGACAAAAAATTCTAGGAAGAGGAAGATCCAAAAATATTATAAGAGAAGTGTGATACGGTGGGAGAACTGACTTGGGTTTTTGCGTTTGCAAATGTTACGGTTTAGCAAGAGTCGCCACCGACTTTTCTTTTATCCAAAAGGAAAGGTGAAAAAGCACAGGAAAGACCTTTAGAGATGTTTTTGAGTTCGGGGGGTAGATTATGAAAAGGGAAGGTGCTAGCACCCTTTTCATCCATGGTTATCCATGGGCTCTTAGTTACTTGCTTTAGATCACTTGCTTTTGTTTGAATGTGCTTGTGGTGTGTGTTTTAAAAGTATTTTTGAAAATGGAACTTCGTAATGGTTCTTGTTTCTATAAGAACGCCAACAAAGTGTTTGTTTCGAAAAATAGTTCAAAAGTGTGTTTGTGTGGGTGTATAAAAATGTTTTTTTGTTGTGAGCAAGCGAGTAACTAGGAGCGAATCTACCTACTCGAAAGGTCTTAAATGTGCTTTTCCTTCTCCTTTAGATGAGGCTATCTTACCATTGATTTGGTAAGAAGCCCCATCGTTGGATGTGAAGGGATGGGCATTGGGACGTTTGTATAGTCATAGAAGGCAACATATGAGATGTTTTAGCAATATCGTTTTAGGGACTAGATCGTTTACCGAAGGCAACATCAAGGGTCATCGAGGGACTACGATCTTTTATCGAGGGTCTTTACTAAAACTCCCATGCTCGAGGGACATGACTATTTCCCGAGGCAACAAGTGAGATTACCTTAAGGGTGCATGTGTGCAAAGTGTGTTATTTACATGCATTTAGTTTTTGATTAGGGTGGTCTATTTGTTGTTTTTATCTTACCATACACACCTAATTACTAGCATTTGTACAAAGCAATAAAAATGCAAGAAATAAATATCCTACACTATTACAACCATATTGAAAGGTAAGAAAATATGAAAAAATAAAATAAAAGTAAGAAAAATGAGTGTCTTTCGACCCAGGAAGCCACACCCTTCGATTTGCATTCTGCTGGCCTCCTTCGATTGGGGCTAGCAACAACAAAGTCACGTCTTTCGATTAGGATTTGGCACCAGTCAGGTCATGTACTTCGATTGGAGGCTGGCACTAGCATGGGAGTGCCTTTTGTCTGAGCCTGGACTTAGTGCAAGTGTGCCTCTGGCTGGGCCTTTCTTCCTTGTTGCCTTCTTCGATTGGGCCAGTGAAATCAGTGTGGAAACCAAAGGCTTCGTTTCATACTCCTGGTTGTCTCTTTCGTTCGACCAGGAGAAAGAGGATAAAACCCAGAAGCTTCGTTTCCTATTTCCTGTTTCCTGTTTCTTTCATTTAAAGCATTAAATTGCAACATGGCCTGAGGCCATGCTAGTATTTGTTTGGTAAACAGTTTAACAATTAAAGCAAGTTCAGGTAAACAGAAAGCAAAAACGAAAGGGTTTAGCTCTGAAAACATGTTAAAAGAGTGGAAACGAAAAGAACCAAAGTATTATGTACATGTTTTGAAATGAAAGGGAAGATTATTCACATACTATGCCATGAAACGAAAGGTTCAAGGGTAAGAGTGACTTACCTTGATGGAGGCTTTGAATGGGTGTGGGACCTTGAGTGTAGGCCCAGGGTTTTGGATTTGAAAGAGGGGGCCAACAGTTGCGCTTGGAATGCTGGATTCGAAGGAAGGAAAGAAACAAGTCTTATGTTTCTTTCCAAACTGGATTCGAAGGATACTGAAGAGTATTTGTTCTTCAGAATCGAAGGAAATAAGTATGTGATTCTGGGTTTTTTTCTCACAAGTGTTGAAGGGACTTGAGAGATTTATTGTGTTTGAGAAAATTTGGGGGATTCGTTCCTCTGGTCTGAAAAAATCCTCCTTAAACATGTGTTGGAGCCTCTTATTTATAGGCAAAGTTGGCTGAAGCTTTTGGAGGGAAAAAAAATAATTTGAACAATTTGAGTAAACTGCTCTTTGTAGCCTTTGAGGGACAGTGCTTTATTGCCATTTTGGTGCAAGGAATTGGGCAGCAATGCAGGACTGCTGTGCAGCAATTTTGGCCAGTGTACCACGCCTGAACTTGGCAGCAAGCATCTTTGAATATTTCATCCTTTCACTTTGACCCTCCTTCGACTAGATTTTCAGTAACCATCTCCTTTTTTTGATCGAAGTGACGTTCGAATGACTTCCCTAGACAATCCTTCGAATGGGCCAAATTAATGCTCTTGGGATGGATCAGTAATATATGTCCTTCGAATGGGGACATCCCAACATGCCTGACAAAAATCTTCGAATGCACCACCAAGATGCTTTCTTCGCCTGAGGAAATGACATGGTGAAGAGTTTGTATGCTTGGAACAGACCATTTCTAACAGGAAATCCTTCCCACTCAAATTTACTTACAAAGGGGC